AAGAACCAACTGTTGCATTGTTATTCCTGGTAAGACAAACGTCTTAACTAACTCAGATAGATAAGAAGAAGTAAATTCACAACATGAAGGGGAAGCAAAGACAATAAGTGAAAATACTAGACGATCACAAGGCTACTAAGATAGTAAGAAAAGATGCATGGGTCGTACGTAGGATGTGGCGACCGGATTTGGTTCCCTGCTCTCCACGTCCGACAAAAGACCCATGGTGCTACAAAGTTAGTTAAATCTGATAGGCTGTGCATGTTATGAATATTATTTCTGAACTGTTTATTAAAAATACAAAACAGAAAACAGATGGCTACAAATCAGACTGTTGAGTATGATAGTTTACAAGATTCTTATTATCACTGCAAATGGCTGTTTTTCTTTGAAGAATCACATCATGAATCCATGTGCGAATTGGAAACAAATCTGCCATAATACCCAATACAGAAATTTAATATAAAAGCAGAGGTTAGATGTGCCAAGAACCAGGCACCAAGGTTAATACAGGTTAATTGAAGATTATATCCCGTTATTGTACAGAAGACTTATAAACTGTTTTTACCAGTGGTGACCACAATTGAAAATAATATCTGCTGAACAATAAAGTGTTATTGATGAGTTGCTAAATATATTACTGAATTTATAATGTAATTGTTTGGGGATAATCCAGTAGTTATTGTATATTGTATGTCCGAAATTATCATTTTGGTTGGTTTTCAGATTTTAATAAATAAAAAGATTTGCATCAGATCAGATTTAGTATAGTATTGTAATATAGTCATGTCTGCATTAATTGAGAGAGAGAGAGAGAGAGAGAGAGAGAGTAACCTGGTTGGTTTCAGGACAAATATATTGTTATATCTTTATTTCAATCATTCATTTGAGCACAGGGGTGTTCAGAGAATATCATGAGGTTAGACAAGCAACCCAATTTCCTTGTCACAAACAAGCCTAGATTGTAACTAAGACTCTTTAATCAATGAAAGACCTTATGATCTGAAACAAACATGTTAGACCACTTGACCACCAAATCCTGCTTATTTAGTGCAAATTGTAAATTCTGGAAAATTAAAATCTTTAAAAAAAAAAAAAAAATATTTCTGATGCAAGTGAAACAAGACTTTGGGAAAACCTGTTATTGAAACAATGTAAAGTCATCTTTCAATTCTGGAAAATTGATATCTTTAAAATTAAAATTAGCGATACAACCAGTTATCGAAACTGTCATATTTCCATTATTTCGTAATTTATGTCATTACGGTTTGTCACAAGACCAATAATTCTTAATTGATGATTTCCTGATGATGACGGATTCAGGAAAATACCACTAACCAATAGTTTCTCATACTTAAAATCTATTTAAATGTAATTTTAGATGGGAGAGGGAAAAAAATGTGGTTTACATCTGCTTGACACAAGGCAGGTCATTTTAGACTAACATGTACAGTTTTATTCCAACAATAAGGGGTCTTTAGCAGTGGGTAGAAACCAGAGGACCTGAGGAAAATCCACAAGGTTTGGCAGGTGACCCTTATTCTTGTCACGTATTGGAACTTCTTCGACCCCTCTGTTCAAACACTATGCTACATTACAGTTTACCATCATAATGTAAAAGGTGGAACCAGACTTTTTTCAGCTTTGTTATACCCTATTAAGGATCTGGTAATGTGTTAATTATTTCCACTGAAGAAATATTGCTCAAATACATAAATATATATCTGTTGAGGCTACCAAAACACATTTGTACTAAACAGTTTAAAATTTGCAATGAGTATAAAATACTGTTTCAGTTTTGTAGTGCGAATGGGGTTTATGCTGCAGGTAGTGGGTGAGATGCTTTGGACTGGAATCGTTGCAAGTCAAACGGCTACCCTCAATCTTTGTAAATGTAAAATGAGTGTAATATTGATAACATTGATGTTTACCACATTCATAATTAGCTCAGAAATTTTCTATATATCAATTTGTTATTATCTATTTTCAAATGATTGTAGAAAGAACGACCATGGCTTTATCTAAATCCTACATAATGCATCTTTAAAACATCTATACAATTATATAACAATAGAAAATAACCGAACATTTCAACAAACATGAAAAACACGCTGATGTGCAGAACTGCTTTTATATTTATGTTTATTTATTTAAAGAGATAATAACAGAATATGAATTGATCACACATGGTTTGACATATCAATAACAATGATTTTATTTTGAACATGTAAATTTAATGAGATAGCCATCATATGGTATAGTTACAATCTTCGAAATCTATGAAAACAGCATGGCACTATATCTAGTCAGGCATAAGTGCTTTTAATGAAAAATAAATTTGAATACAATGGAAATCAATATATTAAATGCATGTATCATATCAAAGAATAGATAATGAAAATATCCATTATTAAATGTAATTAAAAAATAATATTTATAAAAGCTTGTATTTAATTAGTGAATACATGAAATATCTAATATTTCATTAGATAGTTGATAAGGTTCAACATGTTAAATGTATTTTTTTGTGATGGATGCTAAAACTTCAAATTAAACTGATACACCTACATATATGTGCTCAGAGGAAACTCATGGAAACAGAATCCATAAATACATTTCTAAATATGAAAAATCAAATCAAATCTTGATGTGTCTTAAAAAAATAACGTAATAATAATTTGTTCCAAGCTGGTAATGAAGATTTTTTTTAAAAACATAACAACAATCTTTTAGACTGAAATATAGGTGAACCATCTGGCTTCTGCTTTAACTGGTTTATTAAATATATTGCTTCTTTGTATAGTAACGAGTCATGGTGGCTCAGTGATTAGGCACTGGCTCACTAATCAGGAGGTCCAGTGTTCGATCCCGGTTTTGGCCGATAAAGTTCTCTTGGATATCCCAGCATTGTTTCCTCTAGTCAGTGATGGTAGGAGGAGGGTCTGGCAAGAAGCGGTGTCTAGTCTTTCTGATGGTATAAAAAACTGAGGTCCCTATAAACGTTGGTGTGCACATAATATAATCCGTGACAGTTGGAATTGAATTTTCCTCATAGTATGGTGTAGGCCCATATTCATTTGCCCGGTTGGTGCAGAAAAGTTGGACTTAAACCCCTTATCATTTATTCATTTCTTTTATTCTTTATATAGTCGAAATTGGTCAGTTTTATAACTTCACATAAGTGCTTTACATTAAGCCTCAATGACACTTGTTGATTACATTGAATAATCTAGTGGTTTCAGTTAATTTCAAATTGATTAATTATTTTTTTATGTCACTGATATGTGACATTATTGATTTAATTTGAGGATTAGTCATCATATTGTGTACGCTGTACCAGGTTTTCCCTTTGTTAACAATCTTTTATTATATTAATGCTAATTAAACACACAGTAACGAACATTACTAAAGTGATCAGTTAGCATTTTACTCAGACATGAATTCCATGTCTTCTTTGGTTGCCAGTATGTGATTTAATGGGTGGGTTTTAGCTTTAACTGAGTGTCCAATTATTTTGGTATGTTATATAGAGAGCATGACGTTAAATGAATAGAAAATTATTGGGTTAACAATTTGTTAATTTGAAAAAACATTTATGGCTACAATAAACAACTTGAGTTTATTGAAGTTTGAGAATTTCCTCTATTTTAAGAAACTAGAATTGTTTTGATGCATTGTAGCTAATAATTAGAGAAAAAACTGAAGAAAAAAATGTATAAAGGAACAACTAAAATTTGAACATGTGGCCATAATTGCGTGTATAAAATTAAATAGTTCTTAAAGGAGCTAAGCCGCATATATTTGGGACCTAGAAATTGACACAAATGGGTCGCCACGCATACAATAATGTACCATGAATGTATATAAATTGATTTAGATTCAATCGTTTCTGTTTTTACTGTAATTTCTCATCAGTTAGGTTCGACGAAATACGCCAGTATTCTCAGTCGAATTTCAATCTCTAGTGTCTGGTTATTTAAGTCTACGCCGATAGTATTTATTGGGCATGTTCTCCAGATAAGAATATAGCGTCACCGTTTGACATGACTTGTGGAATATGCCTAGCCTCGTTTTTCGAGTCCCTTATTACAAATAGCGCTGAAACGCATTATGGTACACGATTCGTGTACCAATTGTAAAATGTTTATTTTGTCTTAGATATTGGATATCTGAAGGCCATCTTTTCCCGGTAAGATCACAACATCAATGTTGATTTAATCCGACAAATAAATCGTGTTTTCAATGTCGAAGATTTTGGATGATATTGAGTAAGAGACTTTGCTACTTTAATTTATTAGTCTCGGTTACAATATTTATATGGAGGAAATGTAATGTTTTGTTAATTGCTGTGGATGAGGGTGAATGTTGTATGGTGGTCCCCTGAATGTTGGTTAGCATCTTAGGTCTGTCACCAATTGGACACCATGCTAGCCAAGCAACCATGGTCTGGCTTATAAAAACAGTGCTTCAGTCGTCATTGGGATGAAAAAAAAAATCTACGTCAATCCTTGTATATATTGACCTGCATATTAAAGAACCCTCATATCATACACGATACCATCACACAGATGACCTAACCTTGTGGGTTTTCTTCAGGTTCAGAGATTCTCTCCACTTGGGGAAGATCCCTACGAGTTAGTGAATCACTGAAGTAAAGAAATACCATATGTTATAGTCCAGAAATGACCTAATTATGCTTATTTATGAATGTAACAAAATGAGTATTACAAATTTATGGTTGTAATAAAGTACGAAAAATGGAAGAGGTTTTGATTGAGTTTTCATCAAGTAGAAATCTAGTTTCAAGCTGACTTTAAGTTATATCAAGATTGTAGAATAAAATAGTTTTTAGACCTACAGGACTGAATACCTCCGAAATCAACCTTATCATATTAAATTCCTGCTAAACACAATTTAGAATGATATCTTTATATCTTCTAGGATATCTCTGCATGGAGTCCAGAAATCGTTTTTCATGATAATCTGTTTTATCATTTCAGCCTGAAGAGCCACAGCCCTTACGGCATATGTTCAAACTTTACCATTTTCGTCGTCCACATACGTGTTTCGTCTGCAAGCAAATGGTCTGTAATCAAGGATCTGCTTGTGAAGGTAAGATGGTAACAAATATAATAAAATTGATATATCAAACATTTTCAGTATTAGTTCCCTACAGGATGGAAGGTCTGGCAAGGAACAATGTCTAGTCATTTGGATTGGATGATAAACAGGTCCTGTGTACATATTGATCATTGGCGTGCATGTAAAAGAACCATTGGGAATTGGCCATAGTGCCACTGCTGGGACAAATTCTCTCTCATAGTATGCTGCATGGTGTATGCCTGTCTTTATTAGCGTTAAACTCCATTTCATTTAATTTATTAATTCTACAAATTGGTAAACCATCCAATCCTTCATATCCAAACGCACAAAATACATCAAAATTTTAGAAAAACCAAAGTTTGAAGATCAATAACTTGTAGTTGGTTGCCCTTTGTAATGGAATAGTGGCATTCATTAGAGGGCTATAATACTTGTTTTTTCACTTTTATAGATATATCAATATGGATAGCATTATAAAACCCCTACATCATAATGGTCATCCCTCACTTGTTGAGTATAGCACTTATGATTCTGACAGAAAATGTGCTTAGTCATTCAAGATCTGAATCCATCCATGCACATTATAGAACGATTGACATTTGGAAATCACAGAAGAGTAGGCAGAAATGCTAATGTCCAGACAAAATCCTCCAATCTCGCATTGCACATATAACCAAAGAAAAAAAACCCACATCTGTCCTGAAATAACAGAAGTATTGTGTTAGCGAGACATTCCGTTTGTTTCATGAAACCTACATCAATGTGTTTGTGAAAAGGACCCAGGATTATAATGGATCCTAATTTTACATGCAGGTTAGATATAAAAGTCCCCATGCTTCAATCTTGTGTTTGTTTATTTGTTTCGTGGTAGTGTTCTCCAGGGCAGAGAGCACAAAAATGATTACCAATTTCAGCTAACTTTTCATACCAATTTCAGCTAGATGTTCATGTAGGTTAAATTTTCATACTAATTTCAGCTAAATTTCATGCAAAAACATTCTGTATTGCCAGTTAATATTTGCCGTCTGCTCAATGATTTCATTGTGATTTATGGTTAAATGATGACCAACTAACCGAATCATTGACAATCAATAAACAGCCTATATACCAACACCTTCAACTCCATTCTTCTCTTATTCTCCTTTATTTAACCCTGTTAATCATTGTTTCTTTTTATTAAGTCGAGCTTATACCTGTATTGATCTTATCTATTGTTAACAAGTAAAGTGTAATTAAAATTATTGATATGATTGACAGTGATTAATGCATTGTGTTTATAATAACACCAATCACTGACATCTTTATTTATCCTGTAGCCGTACTACTACTTATAGTATATGTGAGTAGGTACGTGGACATTGATTTATAAATACAACGGTACCATCAATGACAATTGTTTGAAAGATACAAAATATTTGAATAGTTTATAAGGATGTACTCTTGTCTTAAAATATTGCCCCTCAAATTATTAATTTCACAAAGAGATATATTACAAAGCAATCAAGCTTGAAATTTAATGTTTCATTTTTATAAACCCACAATTTTTTTTGTTAGATATATTTCCATTTGCTGAACACTCATTAGGCCAGTCTATTCACAAGTCTGTGGCCAGATTCTTTATGGATTTCATGATATTATAAGGACAACCCCACATTATTGTATTAATATTTTGGGCCAGGGTGAGAGCCTTTGTTTGGATCCAGGGTCCAACGAATCAATCGAATTCTGCTAAATCTGCTATATTCTAAGAAATTAGGAGGTGGTTTGTAATTGATTAAAAACTATAAAAACTGTTTTTTGAAAAATTAGGGGTACAGGTGTACACACTATATCACAACCGAAATCTGCCACTATTAAAGTACATGTTCAATTATATTTACTATTTCATTTATTTACACCTTTCAGCAATCTGGTCTTCTGATTTAATTAATTATGTAAATTTCATTATTCTGTTATATATCATTTTAATGAATTCATCATCCATTATTTTCAGTTTGTCGATATATATGCCACAGAAAATGTGAAGGGCTGGTAAGTGTAATTAATTCATATTTCTTAATTTGTACTGTATTTCTCTCTCTAGTTTTCATTTTAATAAGGTATAACAAAATCTTGATTGTCACTTTTTTTTTATCTTCCAAGACTAGAAATATCATTAACCCATTGGTGATTCAGTGAACATATGATTGAAATGAAATGATCCCCTACAAAACCATCCCTCTACAAATCACATCCTACAAAATCTCTTAGATATATGTTATTCACAATTCCACCACACATTAAGGATATCAAATCCTGTTTAACCAAGCCTCTCCTGTTCGTTCTACGGTTTTATTGGTTATCGAAAAACCAATTAAACGTTACCTAACCCAAGCATCTATGGACCTGTTTTGTGACAATGGATGTGTTTGAAGTTCTTTCATCTATTGTTGTCGTAAGACAATGTGAAAGACAATACATCAATGATTAGACAGTGAAACCTGACTCGACATACAATTAAAACTATCTTTACTGTTAGTTCTGTTATATCGGTGAGAAAATTATCCTTTACACTCCTCCTGTAGTCTCGGATATAGATGTTAACCGCGTCTTTAACTAAGTGCAGTTTAGTAGCACACTTTTATTAAATTATATGTGTGTGAAAGAGGGAACTCAGAGAAAACTCACATGGTTGGGCCAGAAATGCTACTCCGTATCACGTACAACCTTAGGATCAAAACCATGCCATTTAATAATAATAAATAATAATCTTTTTCTATAGCGCTGAATATTCAGTCAGTCTGACTAAGAGCAATAGCAAGAGTAGGAGTTAAGGGGCTTGTGCACACATCTTTCGATAAACTTAAATTTAAAAATTTCTAAAAGTGTCACACAAAAATGTTGAATTCAGGAAATGAATGATCAAGTTTGAGGTTTTTTCAGTAAATTCTATTGTTACCAGCAATATTTGATATACCGGATGATGTTAAAAGTATTAGTTTTTTTAAATGATACAGCTTCCAAATCTTATCCAATACACCTGTATCTTTGTTGAAAAGTAGAAAGGACAAGATTTTACATATTTCTTATTTTCAGATTTCTTTAAAATGTCTTTCATCTTTGTCAATTGAGCTATTATTTTATGTAAATGTTCAAACCTTTCATCTTCATCAGAATATGCTTTGGATGTGGCTAGGTTAAGAGTTAAACTAAACCTAATATTAAAGACAGTGGAACACAGTGTTTGAGGATCACAAACCTTAAATGACTGATTGTTCTTATCCAGATTTAATGAGCCGTGTAATTATATGTCTTTATAGTTAGCCATTTGATACCTCTTACACATGACCTGATATGACCTTTCGCGTCTTGCATATTTGATGAGACATTTGGATTATTAAGTGTCTGAAAGTATTGGACTCATCATTATTTGGTTATATGCTTCATTATTTTTTAGTGGCCTCTGATTATCATTAACATATTTTTCATCACGCTTAGTTTATGATTAATGAACCTCAAATCTGAACGATAAATCTTTCTTTAATGTAAGATTGGCTCTGGACAGAACAGATTTATTTTAGAGATAACCAAAACTGAGTTTGGCTGATTATGGAGTTGTTTCCCTTTATATAAGTAATTGTGTTGACAGTTCTAAACTAGTTTTATGGATACATAACCTAAAAAGCAATTTACCATGAAAAGCAATTTACCCTTTACAAAAAGCTCGAAAGCAGTTTATATGAAAAGATACCTTTCCATAACATGTTAAACAATCCTGGAAGTTGAGGTGGGGGTATTTCAGTTGTGATCTTACTTATTTCTAATAAATTTCAGTGAATGTAAGGGATAGTTTGAGAGTCATTTATGATGTTCTAAAAAAAAGCTTTTGATATGTGTAAACTTAACTGATTTTTGATGTTTGGGAGGTAGAAAATGAATTAACCCTAAATTATCAGACTGTGGTATTTGTATCACTTCAAGGATGTATTAAAAGATGAGGTCACTTTAGGGAAAAGGAACAGAAGGATTTGTACTTAGAAATATGTACCATGACAGCCATAATGATTGCTATGACTTATGATCCTTCCAGAAGTATTTTCAGAAATGTTATTGTGTACATATTTTCAGAAATGTTATTGTGTACATATTTTCAGAAATGTTATTGTGTACATATACACTAGTAACATTAACAACATCTAAATTTTGAAATACAACAAATATGAAAATAAGTCTAAAAATATATAAAAGTAGGCCTTGTACACCTAAAAAGAGCAGTTTTGGGGGATGACATTCAGATCAACCAAATACCTATATCATAATCATACACAGGATCAACAGAATGGTCCATATGGTGTCCATAACATAAGTTAAACTCTTGGACGGGATATCATGACCTCCCAGTGTGAAAAGGTGCTGATGGATAGACAGCAGAAATCTCTCCTCAATTTGCTTCTGATTGGCTAATTTGATGGTGTACTTCTGCCATCACTCGTCAGTTTCATCCTTCATTTCTATTAGAGAATCTACTAAGTAATTATCTGACTTCTGTGTAGCAGGATCTTTTCCTCTATGGCCTGTCTGCTACTGGCAAGATGGCCATGTGGTTCATTTCACAACTCGGCCATAAAACATAGTTATTGGTCCCTTTGATTAATTTTAGAACTTATGGAATATTTCAAGTAATTAGCATGCTTGTAATTTACTGTCTGTCATATTGCTCCATATGGTGTCAATAATTCAGAAGACGAAAGTCTCCATGTGGTTCCTGGAAGCTTTAGATGTTTCTGCAAGAGATTTGGACAATTTCTATACTTTTTTGGGTGTTTTAATAAACATGTGTAATTTTAATTAAGAATATTATTAGTATGATTTTGTACAGGTTTTCTTGATTTCCATCACAAATTCTTTGACGTCTTAAGAAATTAACAAGATATTGGAACAATTTTATGTAACACTGTAAAGGTTGGGAATTGGTTGATGACTCTGCTTCTAGACAAAAGACTTCGCAATCACTGGAAAATTGTTCTTTCACAGAAATGTTGTTTGTCTGATCTCCACTACATTTGTTACAAACTTATATTAAATTTATTTTATTAGTCAAGTAGTTTTTGATGTAATATTCTTTTCACGGGTATACTGACTCTTTATTTCATTGCCAAAGGTAGTTTTATTAGTGAACAGTGGTGTGCAGAGTTTTTGTGATGCCTGAAGCCAGCTTCTTGATTGTATGCCCCCAAGACTCAAATATAGGGCCTAGTACAGAGTAATGTGATAAAGGAAGACATTTTGAATATGAGAAACCAGATGATGAAACTTTTTATACGCCCACATTTTCATGTGGACGTATATTGTCTTCGCCCCTGTCCGGCTGTCCACAGTTTGCTTGTGGAAGCTCTACAGGTCACAATTCTTATCCGATTTTGCCGAAACTTGAAATATAGGCTTATCTCCAAGTGATCATGTATCAGATCGAAACTTCATGGATTATGACCCCTGATTGTACAAAAATCACGTTTTTAGTCTCTAGAGGTCAAATTTTATCCAATTTAGATGAAGCCTGTCATTGAGTCAACTGGCGTGGTTTTGAATCCCCGGTTGTACGTGACAAGGAGTAGGGTCGCCTGTCCAACCTCGTGGGTTTTCTCCGGGTCCTCCGGTTTACTCCCACTGCTAAAGACCCCTACGCGCAAGCGAATTATTGAAATAAAATTAAACCATATGTTAGTCCCGAAATGACCTAGTTTGTGTCGAGTGGACGTTAAACCCCATTTCTCTCTCTCTCTCTCCAATTTAGATGAGACTTGAAACCCAAAGATCGGACTGCAACTTCATGGATATGGATTATGGCCCCTGGTTGTACAGAAAATCACCTTTTAGCTTGTGGTCCACCTAGAAGGTGACAATTTTTATCCAATTTAAAAAAAAACCATTCAAATATATCACCGTTACACCATGATGATGATTGATTTTGAATTTCATGAAAATGAGACCGAAACTGCCAGACAAAATGACCGCTCAATATACGCAAATAGTGTTAAAGTATGTAATATCAAGGTTGTGACCCCTCTAGAGGTCACAATTTTTATCCGATTTTGATGAAAGTTAAAACGTGTGTATATGTTCTTTTAATATACGTGCATATTGGACCTGGATTATAACCCTTGATAGTATGAAAAAATCACGAATTTAGCTTGTGGTCCCTGTATAGGTCACAATTTTTATCCGAATGTTAAAATTGTTTAAGCATCACCGTTAAACCCTGATGGTGATTGAGTTCGAATTCCGTAAAAATCAGACCCTGATGGTGATTGAGTTCGAATTCCGTAAAAATCAGACCGAAACTGCCCAACAAAATGGCAGCTCCTTGAATGCAAATAGTGTAGAAGTATCTAATACCTAGGTTGTGAAGTGGCAAGAGGTCACAAATTTTGTCCGATTTTGATGAAACTTAAAATATATGTTTATATCTGAAAGATAGTGTAAAAGTATGTAATGGCAAGGTTGTACAACAATGTAAAAAGCGATAATTTCAAATTGTAAACAAAAATGGATTTTATTTTCACTCCTCTCTACACACAACTGTTAATGAATTAAATCAAAAGACAGGTAAAAGCTTTAGATGGAAATGTATTCCCTTTAGTAATTAGCACTCATTCCATGTAGGATGGTAAAATGCAGAGTTCAGGCAGATAAAATAACATTCGTATAAATAAAGTGATGTCTGCCGACAAGTTCTTCTTTTAGTAGTGATATGTTTTATTTCTGTATGTAAGTTAAGAGTATCAACTCATCTAGAAACAGAAGTAGTTTATTCTGGATTCCCGCCAAATTCTATCAAATTAAACAAGTGCTTGCCATGGTCCACGTGGATTAAGGGAGGGATGTTAAGCAGGTGGTTATTTATAGAGATAGATATCAAGTGTTTAGGTACTTTCAATACATGTACTTGTATTTACATGCTTACTATTGAGTATGACTTACATTAATTACATATGTTCTAGCTAACCTTGCTAGTATATTCTGTAATGCAACAGTAAACTTTGTTGGGTCTT